GAAAAGTTTATATAAAATTGGGGATAGTGTTTTATAATAATGAAAATAAAGGTGAGGTAGTGGATGTGTGTATTAAAATAACAAGAATGGGTGTGAATGGTGTCGTGCATGTGCTGTGTATGTGGCAGTGTGAATGGTGTGAGAGAGGAATAAAGTGTTTGCAAAAAAAAATGAGAGAGAGAGATATTGAGTGGGTGTCTTGCCCACTATATGAATTCTCACTATCAATGTGACAATGTCCCAGTCCTTGGTCAGCCTCAACAGCTTTATCAACCTGACTAAAATCATCATCGCAACTATAGTAGACACTTGAGTCTGATGCCGTGGCTTCCTCGTGAACCGGTGCCAAAAGTGGACATCTAGAGCTACCTTGTCTAGTTGGGGAACATGAATCATCAATATCAGAGGCCGACTCTGCTGTTGACATTGACATATAACTACTTTTCCCCTTATGTGGATTTCCCTGAATATAAAAGTTCATTTTCTCTTGGTCAGTAGACATTCTTGTGATTTGCCTCCCAAATGTTGCTTCTGTATTATATACAAGCTTCATTATCTCGGGATCATTCCATGGACCCATGTTAGACCGAAGGCAACCTCCCTCAGTAGAACATGTTAGACCTGTAGTTTTGCAATTGTCTTCACATCAAGGAATTTCTGTGCAGCAGGCCAAAGCATCTTCTTGAAGCCAGGAGCTCATAGAAGAAGACATCCTGGTTGATAGGGCAGGGGCATCCTTGTGAGATCCTGACATAAATTCTGGCCTCAACTCTGATGATGAGGATGATGGGGCTAAGGTACCCTTTGAAGATCCCACAGGGTAAGGAGCGACGGGCATATCAGCAAGAGACGATGTGGATGGACTGTAACTCAGTGTTCCCATCGGATGATCAAATTGGCATGATGGCGAGATTGAGGAGTTTGGCGAGGTTCGAAGGTGGGAGAGAAGAGCATGGAAACGAGGGGGATGAAGTACATGCAGAGTGATCAAGGTATGTGTAGAAAATTCAAGCGGAATAGGTTGAGGTCCGGCGGGCGGCCAAGGCGAGGTTGCCGCCCGCCGGTGAAGCAAAAAATACGAACTGCTTAACCTAGCTCTGATACCATGTTAGAAATGATGTATTATTAATTGATATCTGATTGTTGTGTTATTGATATTACAAGGATTCCTATTATATAGAAGAGGATTTGGGTAGTAGGTGTAGTGGAGGTAATAGTGGGTTAGGTGAAGTGGAGTGTGTGGTGAAGTGGAGGTAGGTGAAGTGGAGTGTGTAGTGGAGTAGGTGAAGGTAAGGATGGAAAATTCTAACAGCCCCCGCAAACTCAAGGAGGAGAGAAACTAACCAACTTGAGTTTGGAGAGAGGAACAAAACAAGAAAATACATAAAAATAAAAAAGGATAGGAGACACTGTATGGTCGTGTCAGACCGTTGGTGAAGATAGTAGGTGTGGTAGTAGGTGATGGTAGGTGTAGGTAAATTTTAACAGATGTTAATTTTGAAAAATATTGGATATTTTTCGGAAACTCTAGGTCACGTATCCAAACTATTATGAAATTAAAATTATAAATAATTTTTGCATATTGTTAGTATAATTGTTAGAATAAATACATGAATAGTTTTTCAATATTTTATTATTTCATACCTAAGAAAAAAAATAGTGATAAATCAATACTCTACTTTTTCCAGATTTTATCTACTTAACGTATCCACCAAAAAAAACACTAAACTGATTATTGGCTCTTAAACTAATATCTAATTCCAAAAGAATGGTTTCTCACTATCTTTGAGCTTATGTATAATATAATAATAATTATATAGTTTTTCAACGTATTTTGGTTGTACCCGTATCCTACTTTTTTAGATTTTGTTGTATCCTATTTTTTTAGATTTTGTTGTATCGCTAAATCCATATCATATCATATCATATTGTATCTATATCCCATATCCATATCTATAAGCATTAGTTCATACAGGAGAGGCCTAATAACCAGTCAAGAATTTTGGGACACTCCGCCAATCCCATGCAGTAAAAATGAAAAGAAAAGAAAACCTCCTCTTCCATCTTTTCCCATAATAAAACCCACTGGCTGTATTTGTTTGATTGGGTTGTGCATCAGTCACTACCTTCTCTGTGCAAGTAAAAACCACATTTGTCTAAAAAAGGGTTGTCGATGATCATAGTGTGTAAACTGTCTCTTCCATTAGTATTAACATTGGATTCAGAGCAAAACTACAAATGCCACTCAATAGATATCCCACGACTGCAAGACTCTAAACTCATATTTGTGCTTCTACAATGTAATCTTACACTAAAACTGTTTCCATATTAAAATCCCACCATTGGACAGAATCACAAAATAAAACATGCACATATATGTGCTCATCTACACAAGTAAACTTGCTATTTCAGGAAAAAAAAAACATGCATGTGGGCTTCATAGCTATAGAAAAATTGGCTAGTCAATTTTAACAATTGATTTCCATCCAGACAACCAAACTTAATTTGGAAGAGGTCATGGCTCAGTATAGAATATACATCAACACTGCCACCTAAACCATCCTACTAAGGTTCATTTCAAAAGTAAGGCAACTAAATGGTCCTGCCACAATATACAATTCTGAGGTCAAGTAACATGAGCGAAAATTTACCTTAGATTCATATGCAGATATAGTACTGCGTATCATTCCAGAAACTTCATCAAGAGAATGGCTCGAGTACTTTCCATCTCCAACTTTTTCCACACTTCTATTTGCAGAAGTATTAACATTGGAATCAGTGGAAACTTGGGAAGACTGAAACAAGAACCATGAGTAATTTTAGATGAAAAACACAAGAAAAACAAATTCAAGTAAACGCCAAAGCAAGAAAATTAGTCATGTTCTATTAAAACTTGAAGGAAGCTTTACCCATAAAGGATGAAGGAATATACTTCATTTTTCATTTCTTGAAATTTTTCAAATTTAAGCAGCCCAAGCAAGTGCACTTCGTCAATGGAGCAAAATGTAGATAAGAAGAAAATTAAACAAGCATAAAAACAACAATAGAAATTCACAACTCCAGCTTGTGAAGCATAGAGAGGATTTCATAACAATATAGTATTTTTCTACTTGGACTAATATTGTTCCTTAAAATTAATTTGAAACTTGTCTGGATTTCTGAAATCATGAAAAATGTGATGCAGAACATGCAAATAAGAATAATCAAATTGCATGTTCCGTGCTTAGACCTCATCTAATTTTTAAGTTTTGGTTCGATTAGAGCCATTTCATATAGGAAGTTCAAATCTGGTAGGTTGGATATTATTTACGTTTTGTTAAGTCTAAAGTGAGGGATAGTTTGAGGCTTTCTTCAATTGGCAAACTAGGGTTGGATACCTAGTTTCTCAACCTAGAGAGATTTGAATAGCATTGAATTGGGGCGAGAAACTAGCTAATAGTCCTGAGTGCCTTGCCTATCCTGTAGAATAGTAACCACATTAGCAGCGGAGTAGAAATGTTGGTAATTTCCAGATTCACTGTATCTGGGCTGTAGCAATGGTCCATGGGTTGTAATATGCGAAAATCTCTCTCTTCAGGTATTTGTATGTGGTCTATATTGGGTCTAAAATTGTCTTAATGATCAAGATCTAAAGGTTTCCAATTTTAGTCATATTTATCGTAATGGACAACTTTAGCAGTCTATTTACATATATGAGCTTTCTACTCTATACATATATCGACAACATTAGCAGTCTAATTTTGTGGTTCGAACCTAAGGACAACCACTTTGTGCAAATAATGCCAAAGGTTAGGTCTCTATCTATGTTCCACGGACTCTTTAAAATAAATCAAATACTCGTGTCGGACACCCGACACTCGAACAAGGGTATGGGATATATGTCTGATACTTTTCATCGGACACTTCTTATGTAATTATATTTTACACTACTATTATATGTACATATTATTGTATTATTGATGTAAATGCTTTTTTCACACTATAAGTTACATATAGCATCATTCCATCTCACATACTTGATCAAAAATATAAACATTTGACATTTTTTGTCGGGTCCATGTATCTTGAAATTTATGATTTGATAAGTCCAACTCTAGATACATACCCGTACCCAAGTCGATGTAACATAGGTCTCTATACAATCTACCCCCCCCCCCCCCAAAAAAACAAAAAATAATACATAATTTAATGGGGATTAAAAATGGCCATATTTTTTTAATCCATAGTTGTTACCTAACTACTGTGATACGGAAAGATACTTATGTAATTGTCACATACCTCAAGGGAGGTCCATGTAATTAGCCCAAAAAATTAATACTAAAGAAAGAAATTTGAAAGATGCATTTTTCAACAATCAATTAACAGCTCTAAGGATGGTTAGGATGATTCTAGCAAACCAAGAACTACAATAATGAACCGTATTTACCACGTAGAAAGTATACTCATTTGTCCACTATGTATCAATCCTATGAAACTGAATTTCAAGTATTGGCATCAAATGATGTTATAATAGTATTTAGATAAGTTGGCAATTTCCAAAAAGACAAAACTTCGATTTGATTATATTGTATTTGGGCTTGGTTGTAAGAGCAACTATGTTAGAAATTAGAATTTATGTCCAAAGTGTTGCCGCATGAACACTGACACAAGCAATGCAAGCCATCACTGCGTTACACACAGGTTTATTTTCATGAGCACGTTGCATTAGCTCTACAACACATGTTTCTCAAATTGCACAATTTGCCCTAAATTTATCCTAGTTTGGTCCTATGTTTTTTTATGTTGAAAAATAGTTCCATACAAGCGAAAGCAACTAAGTCAAAACGGGTCCACCCGCTCAAAAGAGTCCCCCAAGGGCCACTCAAGCGAACTGCAACAGGGTTCAAAAAGATCCTGCAAGCTCCACCCATAGTGCACTGAAGCCAGCTCTAGCAAAGGTCCACTTGCAAAACTATTGAGAGTTCCACCTGAAGTATGCTTGAAGCTTGCTCAAATACGCTACAGCCTGCTGGGAAAAAAAGAAATTGGAGATCTTGCAGCACTTGAAGCCCGCTCAAGTGCTTGTACAGAAAATAATCCCATTCGGTTTCTAATTCTATGAACCTATATAAGGTTGGCTTAAGGTTTCTGTTAGAATTTCCCATCTTTACCTTCACCTACTCCACTACACACTCCACTTCACCTACCTCCACTTCACCACACACTCCACTTCACCTAACCCACTATCACCTCCACTACACCTACTACCACATTTTCTTCTATATATAGATTGTATAGGAATTGTAATTTATCAATCTTGTAATACATCAACATATCAATCAATAATACATCAATTATTACAGTTTCTAATAGCATATTCCCATGTTTTTCAATACTAGAACTTTATTGTTATGATAGATACATCACTTTTGAGAGTTCTAAATTGAGGTTTAAAAAAAAAAAACAATACTAGCTTTGACACACTTAACCTTTGGTCGTTTGGATAACGAAGCAAAGTGAGGCTTAAAAGTTCCGTAGAACTCTCAGATGAAGAGTGTGTGAAGTATTCAGAGCCAGTGGAGAGCAAGCAAGGAGCTTGGTAGAAGACTTCAAGACTGAGGTTGAATAGGGTAGGAATGCAAGTCCTTTATTCTTGAGACTTGTACAAACTCTTGTTGATGGTGTATTTCTTTGGTTGACTATCAATGGTTTTTCCTTGAAGATTATTGTGTTCAAGGTTTTCCATGCAAATCATTGTGTTCATTATTTTACTGCAATTTATTTGGGGTTGTCATTATCATCACTTGCTACAATCAAAATTGGCATAACAATTGATTTGGCATAGTTTAACCTAAATTGGTTTATTAATCACAAAACTTAGAACTTAAATTTTAAATTAGTAAAAACTCCTAAGAGTTTGGCCTATTTGCCGCCCTCTAGGAACAAACTTGCCCATATCCACAATTTCAGATATCTCAAAAACCACGTGTCAGATATAAATTGACAAATTTCTAACCACTTATGTAATAAAATGCACATGCTTTAGACCCAGTTCAAGATATCTTTTCTTCGAAAATACATCTTATGCTATATGCTTCAGGTTTAGACCCAAAAAAATATTCAAGATACATCTTAGGCTATATGATGAGGGTTAGATGAAAAAAATGTCCAAAATACCTTTGCAAATTTCCCGCTTGAAACAGAAAGGGCTACTTTCCAGAAGGCTGGTATGTGATGGATAAGTACAGCAGTTAACCTGCGAATATACCTTCCTCTAAGAGCATCAACTTCTGCACCAGTAAAGCCTATTGGCTGTGAATCTCCCAGCAGAAGGGTGTTCCCAGAAGTGAGAGAATAGTCAACATCTGACTGACAATAGTACACGAAAAAGGGTCAAACATTGTTGAGTATCAAATAGATCAGCTTCTATACTTAGCACAAGATGACCCTTTAGTAGTTGCACTTACAGACTGATTCAAATCTTGCTGAATTTGCTTCCATTTTGCATCAGAAAGAGCTTTTTCATGCATCTCATTCTGAAAAATTTCCATTCTTGCTTCATGATCGAAGGTGCATTTTTCAAGCAAACCTCGAATTCTGTGATTCTGTCAGGAAAAAATTGCAAAAGAACATCAGCAAATTGATTTACCACTTGTAATACCATGGTGACTTGACTTTCACGACAATGTGGTTGAACTAAATGGAAGGTGGGAAACAACAACAAGAATGTCATTGGAATTGACAAAAACTGGTTAGTAGGTTAAGAGGAAGAATGGTGTTTAAGAAAAGAAACAAAATTGATCCAAGTAAACTCCAAATGACTTTAGTCACTTTACAAGCCAAGCCACTGACATCTTTCACCCCCTAATAAATGAGCTAACTTGGATAATAATCCCAATGCAGTTAGCCACCTGAAGATTCTCCAGAAAATAAGCCAATACTGTAGTGTATTTGAATTATCTCACCTGTATATTTAAATAATGCCATACAGGATCTGACTCAGGTTCCAGCTCCAACAGAAGTCTCACAATATTTTCAAGCTACATGAAGATAAGAAAATTTTAGTAGCCAGAGTAGAAAACTAAACTAAATTAAATTACTAATTTGCATACCCAAAAATAATTTACAATCACCATTGAAAATAACATACAGGTGAAACTAGCTATGAAGCATAAAAACATCAATGAGCTACATCATGGTGGCACCCTCATCAAGGTGTTGCCTATGTAACTGCATAGGCATTGCCTTGTCTAGCTAGCTAAACCAACCATAAGCTATGCATTAGACTTAGGTCCAAGGTATTGATGGCAGCTAACTAGCTAAGCAATGAATAATTGGCAATCAGGTGGTCCACTTATGTCATCTCATACATGGGACCTCATGCAATTTATTGAAATCCTCACCCAAGAGTACCTGTTGGCCAAGAAATCTCAATCAAGGAACTAAATGCACACTACAACTACAATTTGAACCATCCGATACTGCAAAAGTAACCAAAAAACCCATACTATCTACTCATTGCCATTTACACTTACCAGGTGACTCCATTTTTAAGAAAAACATTGAACTTAAGCAACTTTAGTCTCTTTTTTTGTAATTATTTATCATGTCTTCATTGCAAGGTAGTAGTCTAATGCATGCAAGCACTCTTAGTTCATAATTGCTTTAATAACTCTATTTCATACCTTTTTACATGTTGCCTAGTGTGAATATGTTAAATCTTCTGTAAGACCAGAAAAATGAAAAACAAGAAGTGTACAAGTCTCGTGAGGCCAAGCATTTACAAGAATGCAAGTGAAAACTCCTAAACTCATACACAGTTCTCTATAAAGTAAATGAGCAAAGCAAGTCATCACTTGACGCCAAGCACACGTAACATGTGCATAGAAACTCCTTTTTCAATAATTTCAAATGAAATATTAATATAAGATATTAAGATCAGAGTCCCCAGTCATACTTTTTCTGTTTTTTCTCCTTTTTCCTATTCCAATCATATTTATAAGTAAAAGTAGATAAAAGAAAGCCAGTCACTTCAAAAATGGGAAAAAGGACAGAACCAAGAAACTAACATAGGGACCAAATTGATCAACAAAGTAAATGGCCTATCAAATTCCTGGAGCGTAAAACTTAGAGGACCCCAACTGAAACAGCATAAAAGTTCTCTTGGAGACAAAAAAACCTGAGCACCTCTCCAAGCTAAAATATCAGACTTGTCTGAACAATAAACTTACGAGAAGCAACAAGACAAGTTTGTAAAACAGCTGATGAGACATCTGAAAATGTAAAACTAAAGCGAAGTCCATTATAAATAATTACATGTCCTTTACAAAACATTGACAGCTGTACTACCCACTGCCTTAGGCAGCAAAGTCCTCAAGAAGACACCCCTCCAGAGCAAAGCTGGTAATATCTTTCATGAAATACCGGTGGACTGGTTCTCTGTGGATTGCCTCATCTAGCACTTTCCAGAGAATAATTTTCTAGGCTGTGAGATACTGCAGTCGAAATTTAGTTTAAAATATTGAAATTGCTAAATCAAGAAAATCTCTTTTTTGGGGTTGTTCTTTGTTTCCTTTTGCACCTGGGGGAGGGGGGGCTACTGACACTTCGTCAGGTAAGTTCAGGTTATTGTACTGTGTCATCATTTCTATCTAACACAACGTCAACTGGAAACAAAGACACAAACATCAAATATTGAATTCTTATATATATACTTCTTACTAGATAATCATATTGTTCTGTAAAAATAAAAACAATCATATCCATGTGATGAATATCTGTCTGGCATGATAGCACACTACTGAAATATATATTATACATAAAAGACATACATTTGTCAAGTCTATTTGTGGATCTTCCATGGCCTTGTAAAGCATGCCTTTGAACTCATGCATTACTTTTTCAACCTCCTCAAGAACACGTTTGAGTATACCCACCTGAAAATGAGGTATTACTTTAAGTACATTTGCTAGGGTAGGAAAAGAGAACATTTGGATTATGTTCTATTCAACTAGAGCAACAAAAAAATTTGTTCTATTCAATTAGAAATGTTTAACACCAATCAAGTAATTCCATAAAATTACACAATGAAAAATCAAAACATCAAAGCATATTATTGCAAATAAAATAAATAAATAAAAGCACAGGTTCCTAAACTAAGCACTGATTTCAGCGTTACATGCCTGCAAATTCTTTCTGAAGTATCAGCCATTTCCTAAAAGGGAAGAACATTTAATAGAACTAGATTACAACAAATAATAATCAATAATAAGATCCCCTAACATGATCAAATATCAAGGAAATAATGTTTTGTTTTATATATCAATCACAGCAACGAATACATACAATTGGAACATTTAAAAATCAAAAAGATAAACTGACCATATGAATGTAGCAGTGATAGGAATGTCAAATTTGATAAATAAATTGCTACACATTAACGTTTCATTTTAGACATAGTTATATTTACATTCCCTAGTATAATTTATATTGTTAATGCTTAATATATTAAAGAAGGAAGATGGTGACTACCCCAAAAAGCCACCATAAAAAAAGACTCAACCTCACAGCTAGTAAAAAATAATTAACTCTTATTATTATAAAATAATTTCTTACTAAACCTCATGAATAATTTATTTTGACTAAAAAACCCACAAGAGAGGAAGAGAACAGTTTTTATGTACAATTATAATTAAGGCCACACCCTAGAACCCTGCAGCATTTCTTCTTTCCCATGTTCTCCTAGCTATGGTAAACAAAGAAACTTTTAAGGCATCTTTTTCCTTTGGAGGCCATAGCCTGAATGCACCAGAATAGGAAAGACTACATAAAGAAATGAGATCACCCACAAAACTCCAGACCAGTTTATAAAAGAAATAAAGCTTTGAAGGCATATTTTTCCTTTGGAGGCCGTGGCCTGTACACACCAGAATAGGAAAGACCACATAAAGAAACTGAGAACAGCCATAAATCCCCAGACCAGTTTATAAACATGAGACGGTACCCAAAAAAAAAAAAAACATGTAAAATTGACGAAGACCATACTTACCTTATTAAGGTGACAAGACAAAAAGTAAAAATTATGGAGTATGAGTACTTAAGAAATTGTTAGAGCATGATACACAAATGCATAAATACAACTAAAATATTTTATACAAAAGCAATTGAAATTGCTCACTTCACCACAGAAAGTCATTCAATAATTTTTTTTTTTTTTTTCCATTAATAGCATTGTGAAAAAGATACATTTACTCATTCCTACTGCAAAACTAATAAGCACAAAAACTCGCAAGTATAGACATAAATTCCAGTGTAGGAAACCAAGTCATGAACTTAGATCGGAGAAGTACCACATATAATCTATAACCATGCAAATATCAGCACATAAAACCATTTTTAAGTATATTATTTAATTTGATTGGATCTTGGATCATTAATTACTCCACTTTAAGAGGCAACACACTATCCTCACAAAATGGTAGCACATTGCATGAACAGAACAAGTTAATGAATTTTTATGTGAGACAGGCACCATGTTGTATAAACATTTCAACCATATGCTATTCCATTTCGGAACACCAGCTATAGAGAGATGAAAAGACGAAGGATGTAGCTTATTAAAAGTGAACATAAAAGTGAAAAGGCACCCCCAGTAACAAAAACATGAAGTTGTTTGACTAAAATTGAAACTGGAAATGATCAGTGTCCACCAAACAATACTGTGCAAAATTAATTTCTTCTGTACATGTGATGGCAGAACGATTGACTTCGCTTTCCTGTATTCCCTAACTGCCAAATCATATTCACCCTTACTAATACTCCCACGAATTGAACTAGGCAAGTTGAACAGTGTCCGGAACCTCTGAAGCATTCCTTGAACAGACCTGATCTTCTCTGCTTGAGCCTGCATTAATTAAGAAATAAATAAAACTATCTGACCCACATTACACTTGCAAGAAATAACTCCTGACATAATCCAAAATCTCGACCCCACCTACCTGTCTCTCAAATAGAGACCCAAAAGCACGATTAGCCAGTGAACTAACTCCTTGCATACAATTAAACAAGTGAGCAGTTCCAGAACCTTCAGGGTCTTCTTCAATCCGTTTCAATTTTGACTCGATATCTGTACCATAATAAATAAATAAAAAAGCACCTCAATAATAATAATACTAATAGAGAAGATGTCAAATTCCCATATGTTATCTGATGGGAGCTTACCATCAATAGTCGTTTTGCAAGAGACAAAGCAATCAAAATTTTCTTTAACCAGTTGTTTTTTCTGTTGCGTCCGGCTTTTGAGATCAGTTTTCAAAGCAAGAGCACCAGCCTCCAAGTCTGCTCCACTTGTATCTTGGTGTATTCGAGAAAGGAACAACTTTGCATCAAATGTCTCAGAGAAATAAACCAACTTCTCTGCAAAGGGTCATGCATAGAATGTAATCAGCAAAGTGAGAAATCAAGAATAACCACCAAATCTCAATGGCCATTATCACCCCAAACTTCTAATTAATAATATCCTGACCATTGAGGAGCAAGAGAACCTTCCGACGTACAACAATCATATTTATTAACCAACAGAAAGAAGCATGAGCAAGAACATTCTTGAGAGAATAAAATAACACCAACTGCGGACCAAAACAAGGCCATAGCATCATTTAAAAGTAGGAGGGGGGCAAGAATTCCACCCCAAAAACAAACAAACAAACAAACTTGTCTGAATTCTTGATCTTTTCATGTGAGCTTTTTGTTTTGGCAGTACATACATTTTTCTCAGAATTTCTGAGCTCTCGCAGGAATTTTTCCTCTTTTCCTAATTTTATTTCAAATGCCCTTACATTTCAAATTTAATGATAGACAAGATCTATCAATAACTAACACTCAAGGCGCAAAATAAAATTCATGGCAACCAAAAGTTAATAATTGACTAAATAAGGTTCAAGGGACTGAGAAAAAGTAATCTATAAGTAATAAGGTTAATCTCAGGGATGCCAAATTTATATTCCTATGATCATATACAATCTTCAAGACAACTGAAAATGAAACCTGACCCAGTCTATAAAGAACTGATGACTTCAGACAATGCAGACAATGATCAACCATAACGTCTTGTCATCTATGAATCAGACAACCAAATAAAAGAAGAGAAAGAATACCGCGAAGATTAGAATTTAAATAATCTTTGTCCGACTTTGATGGAGAGCTTTCTGAATACTCAGTGATCAACCTTAACGTTTTGTTATCTATTATCCTGTCAACATAATAAACTTGGTTTAGCACAGATGAATAGAGAGGCACACAATATACGTAGTGTAAAAGAAATTGATAGAGAGAGAATAAATTGTATGTATTATTGATTGATGTATGTTGTATATTACAAATGGTAAGGGGCTCCTTATATAGGAGATGTAGTGGAGTAGGTGGAGTAGGTGGTAGTGGTAGGTGTGTAGTAGGTAGTAGTAGGTGGTGGTAGGTGTAGTAGGTGATGGTAGGTTTTAACAGCCCCCCGCAAACTCAGGGGGGATAGGAACTAACCAACTTGAGTTTGGAGAGAGTAACAAAACAAGAAAATAGTCTGAAAAATAAAAAATGGATAGGAGACACTGTATGGTCGTGTCAGACCGTTGTAGAAGACTGTATGGTTATGGCAGACTGTTGAAATTCAATGTATAAAGAGAAATGTTGAAATTCAAAGTATAAAGAGAATTGTATTATTGATTGATGTAATGTTGATATATATTACAATGATTCATGATTCCTATATATAGAAGAGGGTGAGTGTGTAGTAGGTAAGGAGTAGGTGAAGTGGAGGTGGTAGTGGTGTAGTGGGTTAGGTTTAGTGGAATAGGTTTAAGTGGGTGAAGTAGGTGATAGGTTTTAACAGCCCCCCGCAAACTCAAAGGGGATAGGAACTAACCAACTTGAGTTTGGAGAGAGTTACAAAACAAGAAAATACATAAAAATAAAAGAGGATAGGTGACACTGTATGGTCGTGTCAGACCATTGGTGAAGACACTGGATGGTGGTGTCATAACGTTGTAGAGGACACTGTATAGGGGTGTCATAACGGTGTAGAGGACACTGGATGGCGGTGTCAGACCGCTGTAGAAGACAGTTTATGGGGTCATGTCGGACCGTTGTTAGAAACACACTAAAATCAAATGTCGGGACAGTTTATAGGGTCATGTCGGACCGTGGAAAAGTCGCACCCTCAAAAGGTGCGCCCAATTTTTCAAAAAAGGCGTGCCATCAAAAGGCGAGCCCGTGCCATCATATGAATGGCGAGGCACTGAGTGCCTTGGCTGGCGCGCCCGTTTGTCGTCTGGCGTCAAGTGGCGCGCGATACGCGTGGCTGCCTCGCCTATTTAACCAAGACGGAGGCTGAGGCTGAGGCAGAAGCTGAGACAGAAAAACTGAGAGAAACCTCTGAAAAATTTCTTACCTTCGCTGAGGAGGAAACTCTGTAAACTCTGTTTTCTGAAGAAGACTTCCTGAAAGAGACACTCTTACCTCTGTTGCTCCAGAAATGGCTCTCTCTCCCGTGGTCTGCTCACTCTCTTTCCCGACCTCAACGAGTCAACAAGAGAGATAACTGGTGCGGGGGCCAGTGAACCTCAACCAAGCGCCCCTAGGTTTGCTCCGTGAACTTTCCTATGCGGTCATGGAGCAAAAAAATGGCAGCTGCAAACGATATTTGAGGCAAATCAGTATATATTTGAAGTCACTGTGTGGAGACGATGACTGGCGTCACAAACTGTCGCACCGGCTTCAGAGTAGGACAAATGAGGTGGCAGCAGTTTAACGCGCAACTGGCTCTGCTCCAGCGCATGTATAAGGATGG